AAAATCTGAAATACCCAGGGTCCATAAACTCTGAGCCACTGTTAAGGTTCCTCTAAGAACTGACCTTGAGAGCCCTGTGATAGCATCAGAGGTAAACCCTGCTGTCACCTCTGTGTGTGACTGGCTTCTTATCCAGATCCTTCCACCCCATCTCCACAGGCTAGGGACTTTTACTTCAACTGAATTTATCAAAGAGATAAAAACAAGCTGAGGACATCTCTTGGCTGTCACCTATTTTTGCAGAGCTTATAAAACAGAAGGCTTTCACATCTGAAATCAAGATAGACTAACACTTTTGGGGGAAATGTACACATGCTTATGATACCCATCCGTGCAGAAGGGAAGGCCTGTAACTGTGGCTACAAGACAAAATGAGGCTAGAATCTCTCTATTTCATTATCTTAATCTTACCTGACAAATGTCCAGTCTTCAAATAATTCAAAGGCTAGACACTACAAAGATGGCACATTTTGACTGTCTTTCAATGAAGAAAAAAGATTTTAAATTGCTTGAAGTATTGAGCTCATTGCCCCCAATGCTTTCACCGTAAATCAAAGGTATTGAAGTACATTTACATCAGACATGTATCTCCAGATCACGACAGTAGTAGGGTATCAGCCTTTCCCGTTACTCAATCAAAAGAGTGTACCAAAAAAGTCACATCCAATCCTTGATGGAACGTCCTCCCAGATAGAAAACACATATGGCATCTTCACAGATCAACCTATAGCACTGACTTCTCAAATAAACTTGGGGTGAATGAAAGAGGAGGTCTAAAAGCTAAAAGTCAAGGACACATATTCAGGGAGACCTTTTCTGTGACTGATGTGAGTACTAAAATATAGACTGATACTCATTTAACCAAAACTTCTTTAGATGAGGATAAAAACGGGCAAAAGTCAAAAACTAGTGCATAAATTTCATAAATGACTTTCAGGAACTCTGAGCAGAGACAGAGTAGCCCAGCACATGTGCACATGCACACATTTTCACCAAGAAACATCTGTCATATGTGTATGCAAGTGTGCATGTAATTAATCAATTAGAAAATCTCCAGGGCTGAGTAATTAAGTGAGCACTTGTCTAGTATATACAGGAGTAGAAGCTCAGTGCTGAATACACATACGCTTACATGAGCGCATGTGCACGCGCGTGCACACACACATACATACACACACACACACACACACACACACACATCTCAAAACCTGCACAAATTTGTATTTGGTCAGGTCCAAAGAATTATTTTAAAGATTGCTTGTGATCGTAGTGAAACTATTTCCATGGTATAGCTTGATAAGCTTTCAAAAATCTGTTTTTAAAGGAAGTTAAATGCGATGAGAGCCTAAGAATGTCACGAAATCCCAGCATACGCCCTTCAGATGTGCAGGTGACTGGTGCTATCTCAGGAACAGCCTGTAATTAGTGCATCTCAGTGGGCGAGAAACATTTGGACACAAAATGAAGAGATTTGAATCCAGGGCTGTGTTAAGATGCAGGCACCTAAGCCCTGGCTCTTTGCCTCCTCTGGAGCTGGTTGGCCTTCAGCTGATGACTTCAACGATGCTCCCTTTCCTTTACTACTGTGTCGCAAAAGTACGAGGAGAGATACTAATAATGGTAGACAATTAATTTGGAATAATGACAGACAACTAATTTGATAGCCTATAAAGCCCATTATGAGTAAAATTCACTGATGCTAATTTGTTAATGGTGCACGGTAGAGTAATGAATACAAACATGATCAAATAAAGAATTCAAAGGTTAAACTCAGATGAGTTATCACCTTGACAATATCAAACACCTTAAAAGCATTTTTATTCACACAATAGTTTCATGTCATATAAACTTAGAATATGAAGAGATCGCAAATATCATGTAACCCAAATTCTATTGGTGTTCTGCCATAGTTCCAAAAGTGTCTTATAAATCAGTGCCCATGTTTCTTTATGCAAACAAGCATTATTTGCCTGATTCAATAAACAGGTCTTTTCAAATATAAATATTTGAAATATCCACTTTCTTTAAAAGGTGATAAATTTAGATAACTGGGTTTGAGAGACTAGAAAATAAATGTTTTCCAAGTTAAGAAAGAAAGAACAGTTGTTTTTGTTGGGATGTATTTAGTAAAACTCAACAATCCTTTGGGGTTATGAAACCTTCAATTAGCACTGGAGAAAGGCTGAATTATACAACAAGGGACTTTAAAGTCAGATAAGAGGAGGATGGATTTAAAGATCTTTATACAAATGAACTTAGCAATTTGTGACAGAAGAAAGGGGGAAGCTGGATTTTAATGTCTCCATGGCAACTTGCTATCTTCACCGATTTTCCCCTTTGAATCAAGTATCAAAATGTTTCTCTTCCTCATGGTGCGGCCTTTAAAATGCACATAAAGAGGTACAAGTGAAAGGCACATTTTTTTCCTAAGTCATAAAGCTTCACTGAAAGGACAGTAGGCTTTAAATTTGCCTTGCCCACCTGTTTCTCCACTACACTAAGGGAGTATTTTATTATAAACATCACAAAAGGCCAGATGACTGGGGGCTGCCTGCCCACAAACAGGAGATCACTCAGGAACTGGCTAACAATGGGACATAGGCAAACATGGAACATGACAACATTCTCTTCACTGAGGAGAGCACAAACCTCTTCTCCATTAAAAGATTCCTTACAGAATCCCATCTAAAAATAATTTTTAACTTGTTTTAGGTTCTGATCTAAAGCTACATTAATAAGAAATCTCAGCTATGATGAGTGTCTACAGGCATTAAAAAAATAAGACACGAGAATTCTTAAAATTGATTTCTTTTGGTGACTTGAATGGGAAGGCTTCTTGCTATCAGTATTCCGTATAAAATATTCAAGGCCTGCTGCTCTTCTGCAAGCAAAATCTGCCTGGGGAGGTGATGGGAAAAATTAAATAAGCTGTGGGAAAAATTCATGAAGTACAAAGGGGCACTCACATTAGGAAGAAAAATCCCACTTTTCCAAGTGTTTCCTAAGTTAAACAAGGGGTGGGGGGTTCAGCCAGGCCACAGAAAAGGTTTAGTGTAGCTCTAAAACTATAGTAAATGTCTTTTTTAAAAAGTTTAGCTTTAAAAATAAGGTGATTTAAAGAATGAAATGAAAAGACACTAACTGGTACAGGATGCACCCAAAACTGCTGAAGGACTGGGCGGATAAGTGGAGGGGAGACGAGGGTGGATAAGTGAAGTGGTGCGGAGCGCCACTGGCTGTGAGCTGGCAGGGGTCGTCCTCACCATGCGTAAGCATCTTTCCAGCCACCATGGGCTATGATAAAGTGTTCCATTCTAAGGACATTTCAACATCATTTAAACTTTTAATATTTTCAATTTATGTAGTTGTAACATGTGAGTATATTGTCCTTAGAACTAAAAGATAAAAGAAAATGTTTTAAAATAGTTCTCTATGAAAGCAAACAAAAGCAGCCGAAAAGAACAAAAGTGAAGTCGTGCAACGCAAGTTCCAGGACAGGCAGGGCTGTTACACAGAGGAACGCTCTGTCCAATCACTTTCAAAAATGTACTCTGCTCTTAGTGACATGCATTTGCATAGTGCTTCATTACCACATTTTAGGGAAATGAACAAGAAATTTTGTCTGCACATTAAGTACTTCTTATGCATTAATCAGTCAATTCATAACTACTCCTAAAATCTTAAAGATAAAGTCATAATACAGATTTTTCTCTGAAGTATGAAATCCTTGATAAATGATGGCATATAGGAAACTATTTACCTATATCATAAGTTTTGATCGAGTTCACATTTTTCTAAATTTGAAATGCTTGTTTCACAAGGTCTTTATCTTTTATTCTCCGTGACCAAGAGCAATGAAAGATAGCCAGAATGTTGGGGCCTGGAAGAGGAGGCTGGGGGTGTCTTAGGAATTCCTTCTTTTTAATTCCTTAGTTACTTATTTTTAAACTTTTAATAGCAATGTATAGTAAGAGGAAGAAACCCCTTTTAAAATCAGCTATATAGCTGAAATTCTCCAATGAGCAATCGTGAAAACATTTTCTCAGTAGTGAAACTGAGGCACAGGTTGAAAACGTGGCTATGTTTTAAAATGGCTGTAACATCCATCACTTTCTCAGTCTCTAATAGATTCTTCATAAAGAAAGGTGAGATTCCTCCTTGTAAACTATCAATACAGGAGAGGGAAAATGTTGTGAAGTCCGATGGTGCATGCCTTTCTGATTGCTGCTTACTGTTGGAGACTTGAAACATTTTTAAATGATCGTAATTATTGTTTGATTTTCTATCTTTCAATACAAACTACTGAAAGACATGCTTGTAGGTTATTTATCAGCAAAGTGTTAACTAAGCTCTGATCAGCCAATTAAATGTATCAATCTGATCAAATAATTTGAGTTGAACAATAACCCTAATTATAATATTCCTATGTTCTGGGATATAGCAAAAGAAGAATCAGTCAGTACCTAGCTAATCATAATCTAATAGCTTAACTATATACTGTCTTCTACTAATAATCTCATTTTGAGTAGATACTTGAAGAATGTAAACAAACACTAAGACAGCAGATAAAAACTAACAAAGAAAAAGCTTCCAGCCTAGGGGCTTGGGTTCAGTATCAACCATGGACCAGGACCTTGGGCCCAGTCTCTTAGAGTAGTTTTTCCCATAAGAGGAAAGGAAGCTGCCATTCTCACGACTGGGATAATCAAGAGCTTCCCACTCGACAGATTCTTCCCATAGACCAGCTCAAATGAATTTTGAATTTTGAATTTTGAGTTTGTATATCACTAAGGAAACTCTTGGTTTTACAAGTCTTCTGGATAAGCCTAGTCAAATTCGACTATCTCCATAGTACAGCTAAGCAATTGATGGAATCAGAAAAAATATTCTAATTAAATATGAATATAAAATTTCAAAGATACACACCAAGATAACTTCAAAAAGTTACATTCCTACATTAATCTTGTCATTTAATAATTCACCTTCTGGTTAACTTGCAGGATACAGGCTCCCCTAGACACAGCAGGAGAAATCAGATCCAATCAATTAGCTGGCAGAAGGTATGGCTCCTTCATTCTCAGTTGAGGGATTTATTAAAGCACACAGAAGTGCATTTTGTAGCTTCCACTTAGGCTTTTCCTGCATCTTGGACCTAAGAGGCAATTGGTTCTATACCAGTTTCATTCAGCTGCCATTCCTGTAGACTTCCATATTCCGGGTCTCACGCTTCTTTGTATTCTATAGTTTACTAGTGCTTTGTCTCCTTACTGAAAGTTCACTGTAGGAAGTTATAGTATTCATGGATGTTTTTCTCTACTGGCTATTAACCCATAAAACATAAAAGCCACTAAGTTATAAATGAATAGGACCACAGATACAGTACATCGGTGGTTCTGAACCTGTGGGTGGTGACATGTCAGATATTACCTTGTGATTCACAACAGAAGCAAAATTACAGCTATGAAGTAGCAATACAATCATTTTATGGTCGGGGGGGGGTCACCAAAACATGAGAAATTATATTCACGGATCAAAGCATTTGGAAAGTTGAGAATCACAGCTGGAGAACTGACTTCTAAAGTTTCACATCCCTTTATGTTATCCTCAGAATTAACACTTGAATCTTACATAAAAATATAGTTAATATAAAGTTTGTGTAAGTAGTAAAATGAATACAAATAAGATCAATTAAATTTATTGAAGTTGAAAAAATGAACAAATTGAATGCTTACATTATATGTTAATGATGGAAACATACATTAACTCATGGAACCAATTCACTGGGATCCAAAATAATTTTAGAGCATGCGCTACATTCCAGTTACTGTGGTCAGGAAGTGGAGGTAGCAAATGTCACATTCTTGAGAAGGTGTGACTGGAACCTAGTGTTCCAAGCTACTGGAACCAAGCTACTAACTTGCCTCTGACTCAAGGCAAGTTAGTAGCTAACTGAAGGGAAAAAAAATCACAGTTCAATTTTAGGTGAGATCACATTTCTGAGTGTTAAGGGGAAAAGACAAATTAGCTTGAGTTTGAACTGTAAGTGATTTATCATTTTTAGAAACAAGGATTTCTTTATTTTGAAGTAGTAGTATTTCTAAGTCTTCAAAGAGAACACGTCTTTGGAAGTTTATGTATGTCGCCAAAGCATCGACCTTATCCTCACCCAAGCATGCCATTGCAGCCATCAATACGGGAGGCAACATGCCTGGCTATCTAAAATATGTGAAGAGAGTGGAGTGGGCTCCACAGCAATGCACCTGGGTGCAGCAGAGACCTAACTATGGTGCTCTATTAGGTAGACAGTACATCAAACTGCAACTTGCTTTTGGAACCCCTTATTTTTCTGTGAAAAAATTACCAGTGTTCATTTAAAGAAGGAACATCCACTTGAATAATGGGAAATAGTTGCCTTTTACTGTTAGTGGCTGACTATTCTCAATGATAAACAATCACATTTTAATCTGAAGTTAATTTTATACAAGTATATCTACACTAAGGTAGATTAGTTCGCCTCCAAATCCTGTAACTCTTAAGTCACTTTAAGCAAAGCAGGCTCTATAGAGAGGTAGGGATGAGGGTACAAATACTACTTAGCTCATCCAGCATTCAGGAACAATTTGGCTCCCAAGTGCTAACTCTGAGGAGTGGAGGAACTCCAGGCTTACTATCTGATTATAACAGAACAGTATTGTTTCTATACAGCACACAACAAAACCAACCACCCTGCAAGGCTGTTTTCTTTTCTTTTTTTTTTCACTATAGTTAATTTAAAGACAAAACAAAATATAACTGAAATTGGATGGAGCTATAAAATAGAGCTGAAACAACTGGAAAATTCTGGAAACATATTTATTATACTAAATGAAACCAGTATTCTGAAGAATAAATTTCTTGACTCACCTCATGTCTGGGCCAACACAAAGGACAAAATCATCAGAATGTACGGAAGTAACTATAAACTCTAATAAAACTATATATGTGAAATAATTATAGTTAAACATTAATTATGAACTTTCCTCTTGAACTAACTTTTTCTCTCCCTTTGATTACATTTAGAATAATGCCTCTACGTCTGCAAGTGCTGGACAGCATGGAATTTGAATCTTGGATTTCTAAATAAATGAATTGCTCCACATCCTACGACAATCTTAAATTCACCGTCTTAGAAGAGTCCATCAGTACATTATCACTGAGGAGACAGCAGCCATCTTTTCTTCACTATGTGCGCCATTCTTGGAAAATACATCTGTGGCCCTCACAGTTATTTCCATGAAGAAGGCGCCTATAGCTCCATGGTGTTCATCATTTGACAGATGCAAGCGTTTCCCTCATCAGTCAGCTCGTACTGAACTTACTGGCGGTGGCTGGAATCCTTAAGGGCCTATTCAACTCCTGAAGACGAAAGCTAAGATGAAGGACATGCCACTCCAAATCCATGTGCTGTTTGGCCTAGCTTTCACTACATTAGTACAAGCTGTAGATAAGAAAGTGGATTGCCCACAGTTATGTACATGTGAAATCAGACCTTGGTTTACCCCCCGATCCATCTACATGGAAGCAGCTACAGTAGACTGTAATGATTTAGGGCTTTTAAACTTCCCAGCCAGATTGCCTGCAGACACACAGATTCTGCTCCTCCAGACGAATAATATTGCAAGAATTGAACATTCCATAGACTTCCCAGTGAACCTTACTGGTCTGGACTTATCTCAAAACAATTTATCTTCGATCACAAATATCCATGTACAAAAGATGTCTCAGCTTCTTTCTGTGTACCTAGAGGAAAACAAACTAACTGAGCTGCCTGAAAAATGTCTGGACGGCCTGGGCAACCTACAAGAACTCTACATTAATCACAACTTGCTTTCCACCATTTCGCCTGGAGCCTTTATTGGCCTACATAACCTTCTTCGACTTCATCTCAACTCAAACAGATTGCAGATGATCAACAGTAGGTGGTTTGATGCCCTTCCTAACCTAGAGATTCTGATGATCGGGGACAACCCCATCGTCCGAATCAGAGACATGAACTTCCAGCCGCTTCTCAATCTCCGCAGCCTGGTGATAGCTGGCATAAACCTCACGGAAATACCAGATAATGCCTTGGTCGGGCTGGAAAACTTGGAAAGCATCTCTTTTTATGATAACAGACTTATTAAGGTACCCCAAGTTGCTCTTCAAAAAGCAGTAAACCTCAAATTTTTGGATCTAAATAAAAATCCTATTAACAGAATACGGAGGGGTGATTTTAGCAACATGCTGCACCTGAAGGAGCTGGGGATAAACAACATGCCTGAGCTCGTCTCCATCGACAGCCTCGCCGTGGATAACTTGCCAGATTTAAGAAAAATAGAAGCTACTAACAACCCCAGACTGTCTTACATTCACCCCAATGCATTTTTCAGACTCCCGAAGCTAGAATCCCTCATGTTGAACAGCAACGCCCTCAGTGCCCTCTACCACGGGACGGTAGAGTCTTTGCCAAACCTCAAAGAGATCAGCATACACAGCAACCCCATCCGGTGTGACTGTGTCATCCGCTGGATCAACATGAACAAAACCAACATCCGATTCATGGAGCCAGATTCTCTGTTCTGTGTGGACCCGCCCGAATTCCAAGGCCAGAACGTTCGGCAGGTGCACTTCAGGGATATGATGGAAATTTGCCTCCCTCTCATAGCTCCCGAGAGCTTTCCCTCTAGCCTGGATGTAGACGCCGATAGCTATGTGTCCCTTCACTGCAGAGCTACTGCAGAACCCCAGCCTGAAATCTACTGGATCACACCATCTGGCCAAAAACTATTGCCAAATACTGTGAGAGAGAAGTTTTATGTTCATTCTGAGGGCACACTCGACATCAGTGGCATAACCCCAAAGGAAGGAGGATTATACACTTGCATAGCAACTAACCTAGTTGGTGCCGACTTGAAGTCTATTATGATCAAAGTGGGAGGTTCTGTTCCTCAGGATAATAATGGCTCACTGAATATTAAAATAAGAGATATTCAGGCCAATTCCGTGCTGGTGTCTTGGAAAGCAAGCTCTAAAATTCTCAAATCCAGTGTTAAGTGGACAGCCTTTGTCAAGACTGAAGACTCCCATGTTGCCCAAAGTGCTCGAATACCATCTGATGTCAAGGTGTACAACCTTACACATCTGAAACCATCTACTGAGTATAAAATTTGTATTGATATTCCCACCATCTACCAGAAAAGCAGAAAACAATGTGTCAATGTCACCACGAAAAGTTTGGACCGCGATGGACAAGCATATGGAAAGAGTCACGCAGCGTTTATGGCCTGTCTTGGAGGGCTTTTGGGGATTATTGGTGTCATGTGTCTTCTCAGTTGCATCTCACAAGAAATGAACTGTGAGGGAGAACACGGCTATGCGAGGAATTACTTTCACAAACCGACTCTGGCATTCAGTGAGCTTTACCCCCCTCTGATCAACCTCTGGGAACCAGGCAAAGGAAAAAGCGCACCCTTGGAAGTAAAAGCAACTGTTATAGGTGTGCCAACGAACATGTCCTAAAAACAACCAACCAAACCTACTTCAAAGAAAAGCTCGAGACTGCAGTAAGTCCTAAAAAAAAAAAATAAAGAATAGACAAACAACAACAAAAACAGACAAAGGAAGGAAGATTCAGCTTCACCAATGCTGCTCCTGGCCAATGGAAACGTGAAAGTTCAGCATCCGAGTTGACCGGCTTCAAAGGGTACTGTGGCAACCAAATAAACCAATCCCATTTTCTAGAACTTTCATGTAACTTTTATGTCAGGACTAGAGTTAACGTGAACAAAAAACATTTCTGTATTTTTTTTAAGTATAGAAGAGTAGCTGAACTGAGCAATACCTCCTCCTGTGTTGTATTACACGTTAGCCACGAGTTTTTGCAGTGACCAGAAAAACTTGAATTGACACGTGGTGTAAGGAAAAGGACAGATTCTGTAGAGTAGACACAGTGAGTATGTGGACCTCTTTTATAAGGAAAAATACATTTTGGATTAAAATCAATTGCTTTTGTCTTGTTTTTGTTTCTAAATAAAGAATAATTTCTGGGAAATATCATTTGACTACAAGTCATTTAAATACAGTGTTTTCGAATGGTGTCTTCTACAGTCACATTTGGAATGTTAAAATCGAGACTTTTATTGGGTTTGATATACAAAATGGATTCTAGACAGCATTTTATTGATATTAAAAGGTTATAACATTATATTTAACACTTGAATTATTAATTGAAATAAATCCTTCAGAAAATTATGAATTCATTTAAAAAATTTTTCAAAAAAGGAGCTTTTGGAAGAGGATTTATTATTAGGTTCAAATGATATAAATCCAATACCAGAGTAAGTCAAGGTCTAATTTCAATAATGAATGGATCAGCTGGAATTTGCTACTTTGCAAAGACTTTGCCACATTCCATAGAATTTATTTATCTAAGCCTATTTCCCCATCTCTTTGAGACTTTACATAATGAGCTTCAGGTATGCAAAAAGTATTTTAAAAGTCTGCTACACCGCAAACACAGTAAGGAAGTCACGTGTTCTACTTTAAGAGCAGGGTTTTAGAAATTCACTATAAAATAGGAATAAGTAACAACACTTTATAAGGTTCAACTTTTTGAAACTCTAACTTAGATTTTTCTCAACTCCACATTAAAAACAATATAATCCAGATGATTCTGGTGTTCTGGTAAAACAAAATGCAGTTTAGATTTAGGAACAGCATCTATCGGTCTATGCAAACTGAATTCACTTCAAACTTACTATGTAGCACAGGGTGGCCCTTAATTTAAAGACTTTCATTAACTAAGAAAAGGATTCTGAAAGTGACTTAGGGTAAAATACAGCATCAAAGTATAATCTACTAAGGCTACACATGAAGTGTCTAAAAGCACAGGTTAAAATAACCCAGATTATAAAATGAAAATATTATTTTAAAATCCTTTATGTGGAGTGAAACAATTTTACTAAACAAAAATTAGTGAGAATGAGAGTTTTAGTCCTTTTATAAATAAAAACAGTCCTGCAAAAATAAGTGCATTTTGGAGCAAAGGAAGTGTTCTAAAAAAACACTGATCTTAATGTAAGCCATAGTTTTAAAAAGAAAATTGTTTTTCTAGTCTATATTAATAACTATTGTGTGCTGTTCCTAATCAACATTTTACAGTAGCTGAGGGCATATTATCAGCACGTCACCACCCTGTAAGCATTCCTAGTATAGCAGTCATATCAATTTATTTGTTGAAACTCGACATTTCTTTTGTGTTAGTATTGGCAGTTTCTAATTAAATCCTAGCTGGTTTTGACAATGTGGAAGGTAATTGCTACGAACTCTTTAAAACGAAAGGACAAGCTGTGTTAATTTCGACAAAAGCAAAATATGGAACTTGTTAATTCGATGTGTTTCCCAAGCACAGATTTTCCGACCTGATGAATCGCTATCACACAGAAGCTGACACTAGAATCCATCAGTCAGACGCGCTCATACATCACTACGAGTTTCAGCACCACAGACAGCGCTCCGCGAGGCTCAGCTCGTTATCAAAAATTGAAGAGCTAAAATATGACCTATTAGGATGCAGTTACTGTATCGGTCAGCAGGAAATTAAGCATGTGTCTTGTGTTTCTCTTCAATTTACCTTCACGAGGAAGCATCGTACTCATAGCGAAAGCTTAAACTGCATTTTCAAACATCACATAACTTTGAAAATCGTCATAAAATAAGCACCATTAATAAATAAGTAGAAGGCATATTAATGAAATTGTGTCACCAACAAAATCAATGCAGGCACATAAAGCATGGCATGATTTTATTTAAGTCTTAATTCAATGTATCATCAGGGAAGAAAAGAATTTTCATTTAGTAATGAGAATAGTATTTAATATTTCCTATACAACCTCCGAAACAATCACGAAATTAAATGAGGATTAGTTAAATATAATTTACAGGTGAACTGTACCATATAGAATCACCTGTTGCAATGGAGTTTACCTAAAGGAGAAAAATATCTAAAGTTTATCCCTTCACAAATACCAACTTATGTATTACCTATAGGGAGTAAAACAATCTCTTGTAAAAATTATTTGAAAAGAAGAATATAATCTCATATTTTTAGTACAAACTAAACTCGACTTTTTTAAAAATAAGAATCATGCTATAACAATAAAAAAACTACATCCATGATTGTGTAATTTAGTTTGATTATCCTGCATATACAAAACTGGTACCATTACATAGAGATGAAAATTTCTTAGTAACTAATAAGATTATGGCAGTCCTAAAATCATAGTACAATAGTTTATATATGCCGAGATTCTGATAGGGATGAACTTTATGTGCTATCAGGTGTTTCAATGTGTAACACATACAATTCCAGAGAGTACAGGATTTTGAAACGATAGTAAGTAACTATTACTACTGGAATATTACACTAAGCTTTTTCCATTGTCTTGGAGTGCAATCCTCTGGCCTCTTAAAAAGTTAACTGTAAATGGCATGGCATAGTAGGATGGTGAAAACCTTATACACCCATTTATTGAGTCTCCTGGCTACAAGCATTGGTCTGCACTATTAGTTTATGGAAGGCCACTCTATGATACTCTCACAGTGATGACATAAACTCAACATGTATTTTCACAATGAAAACTATCACCAAGTGATACATGACTGTATGGAAAAGCAATATAAAGACAAACACTGTTAACAAACTCAAGAACATTTAATGCATAATAAAGTTTGGATATATTACTAGTTTCCCTAGGAAGAATGAAATGGAGTTTTGAGGTAGACAGACAGACAGACAGACAGATAGAAGAATATAAGAGAGATAAATGTATTATAATTATACAAATGTTTGAGATTTTATTCTAGTTAGACAGCAAAATTTTAATCAAACTATGAATCAGAATAAACTTAAAATGATAATTACTCGGTATATTCATTTATTTACATACTGTGCATTCTCAGGAAATACTAATTGGATGGCTTTTCATCTTAGGAAAAACAGTGAATAGCAAAACTTCTCCTGAATAGAGAGATCTATATTCTACATTTTCTCTAACATTTTCTCTACCAAGTTTTCACAATATCTATCAACTATGTTTCTTAGTGGCACCTGACCAATGGTTTGCAATTTTACATACTCATACCACAGAACTTTTAAGCTCAAAATATCTTATAGAAATACGTTAACGTAAGGACTTGTTGAAATATATTAAAGATTTTATTCTCTCTATTATTAAAACTAGCCTAATACTATGTTTAGACTGATTAAATAGAAAATCCTATTTATTTACCATAGATTATTTCTAACCATAGAAACATGTTTTGATTTTTTAATTTAACTGAGGGAATCTGATTATTTTAGCAAATGTGAAGTTAAATTCAAGAAAGAAATTTAGCAATGACCAAATGTTTTTATCTCCTTCGAGGAGAATCACCTGACTCTGAAAAGATTTGTCACCTACTCTTAAAAGATCTGTCAATGAGTGATCCAGGAAAAACATAAATTCCTTCTATTAACATGTCAGATAAAAAATATTCAGAACTGTCAATATGTAATCTGTCAATTGCAAAATTAACAATAAAATACCAAAGTTTAAAGGTTTAAGTTTGCTATAGATGGACAAGATTCCAACAAAAGTCCCTGTAAGTGTTATAAAAAGCGGTGAAAACCTCTAATTGTATTTATCACCATTCAAAATATCTAGCTCTTCATTCAAATGTTTGCTTTTCTAGAAAATATGGAACAATTAATAGGAAGAAATTTCTGCACCGGAATTTTCGTGACATAACACAGTTTTCATTTCAAGGGACAATGACATTTGTAGGGGTCACAATGCCTTATCAGTTTGCCTTTTCTAACTGATGTATTTTTATAAAATTATAGCATTATGTGACCATGGTAAAGAACAAGCAAAGTTCTCATTAAAATATTCAGTGAAGTGTCTGAGATTATTCATTCAAAAATTCAATTGAGCTGTTCATATGTAGCATTTAATAACCTCTCGTACAAATAGCAGAGCAAACTGGGGGCATAGCTTGACTTTCCTAATCCTCACACTGAGGAAATCAGAGTATAATATAAATAGCTCCATCGTATTTGGGACATCAGTCTCCAAGCTGAGAGAGACAGAATTGGTTCTTAAACTATTAGAAGTGACATTGTTAAAACAATGTAACCAAATGCCAAAGAAATTCTTCAAAAATATATGACACAATATTACCATTTATTATTGGGACTGAATTGAAGTCAGAAACTTACAATAAATGTATCCTTAATAGTTACAAAGAAAAAACTTACAAGCAGTAAGAAGCAAAAATTTCTATGTGCAAAATAACATAAAATTGGCTTTTCATTCCTGTCTGCTACTTAGTTAATCAAAACACTAGCATTTTAGTACTTAATGTTTCATAGAAGAACACTTATTTTATGAGGATTCCAAAACCTGCTTTCATTCAATAGCATCAGCAAATCAACTGAGGTTTGTGTGTGCAATAAAGCACAGTCTCCCAGTCTCTGGAAAGGCATAAACAGTAAG